AAACAACAAACAAACAAATCATCACGACTTCTATTTCTTGTCCCTCTTATGGATCATAGATGACGTCTACATGTTCAAAACTTGGAATCACGAGCGCATCAACTGGTTTCACTGTTAAGTTTTAAACATTTTAAGACGTCATCTATAATCAATAAGAGAATAGTCAATGGAAGTCTTGGTGATTTTTTTTTACGATAACAAAATAAAATAAGAAACCGGATCAGATCAGATTGCAGGAATTCACTCTGTTATTGTAAAATCGCTAATTGATAATAGCTGTCAGCCAATCACATTGCGAGAATAAGATCTGTCATTGTAAAATATTTTATTGATCATTGCTGTCAGCCAATCAGTTTGAGAGAATACGATCTGTCATTGTAAAATATTTTTTTGATCATAGCTGTCAGCCAATCAGATTGCAAGAATACGCTCTGTCATTATAAAAAAGGATGTTACCTATCTGCTTCTAGTCGTCTGCTGGCCATGAACAAAAACAAATTAAACGACGTCTCGCCAAATCCAAATCCTGGGGGTCTGGGTTCTTCCGCCAGTGAACCAATCAACAGATCTAGTTTACTTATATCATTACAGTAAAGGCTCTTCAAGACATCTGCGTGCTCTTTATTTGTCGTTAATTTGTCGAACGAATCTACTGGTCTGAGATTCATTAATCTTCTGAACTCATTGTATCTTGGGACGCCTCGTTCACGGTCTCGTAGAATATCGATAGTTGCAAGATCTACAATCTGCAATACAAAATTACGATGCTTTTAAAAACCCAGACCGTTGCATAGAAAGAATAAATGGGTTTGCGGAAGGAAAGAAAGATCGCGCGCGTATTTTTGGCGGGAAATTTCCCGCCCATTCCACAGAACAGCCATTGGGATAGGCCCTGATAATAAGCATGCATTGCTATATCACTCAATTCGCAGCCTTGTGATCGCGCGCCGGGATTATCCCAAAGAATGTCATCGATTCCGTACCAATTAAACAAACTGGTCTATATAATTCTATTTAAACAGGGCTTTCTCTCTTCCTGTGTTTTTTTTTTTTTAAATGTGCAATGGCGATCGATGTACTGCCTTTATCTTTTTGTAGTATTATTTTGTGATGAGCCATTAATATCAATCGACGTCATTACTGCAACAAAGCTTTATTTGCCCCTCTGAACGTCCCACAATGCCTTGCAATCCAAGATGGGCGCCGTGTTGTYGAAGTGGTCCATTGATAATAACTTTGACTTATCTATGACAGAATCTTACCTCTCCATTCATCTGGTGACTTGGAAGCTTAAGGTCCGTGAGGAACTTTGGGTAGTTAAAAAGAGTCAGAGCTCCCGGATGTTCGACTCCGAATGTGTAAAGAATGTCGTCAAAACTGTGGCTTTGGAATATTTCTCTTGCTTTAGAAAACGAGTAGTTAGGAAGGGTGTAACTGAAAAATATATATTGAGTTGATACTAAGTTATAGCACGCACACGGTACGAGATGCCATAACACTGAAATGGCTTTCCATACAAATGTTTAACTTATGAGTGGGAAACGTACGGTACTGACTTACAATAATACACGGTACGACGTGCAGTAAAAATGAAATGGCTTCCCATAAGATTGTTTATCGTATGAGTGGGAAACATAAGATACTGAGTTACAGCACGTACACGATACGACTTGCCGTAACATCGAAATGGCTTTCCATAAGAATGGTAAATGTATGAGTGGGAATTCGAAATTAAACATAAGTTACTGACTTGCTGCATGTACACGATACGACATGCCATAAAATGGTTTTGAATGCCAATGAAATGACTTCCCATAAGAATGGCTATCGTATGAGTGGGAAACATACGCTACTGATTTACAGCACGTACATCATGCCGTAACATTGAAATGGTAAAGTTACCTTTTTCCTGTGCGTTCTCTAGTTTCCATTGATCGCATGTTGAGGTAATCAGGAAGTAATGGATGCATCCTATAAACCGAGACGAACTCTTCCGTTAAACTAAAAGGCACCCCTTGAAGATTCCTCGGCTGTCCAACCAAAGGTTTAATTCCAATGTTTGAAGAAATGTTATGTTTCTTCAACCACTCCCAGATCTCCTTGCCAGGGTCGAGTCCCCAGTTTACACGCACACCTGCGCGTAAAGCYGTGTAGTTCAGGATTGCTGGCGTCCATTCAATCGTGTGAATCTTGATTGCAACTGCCGCGTTGATTAGCCTAGTTGGGGTCAATTTACAAGTATCACTAAAGTAGTTTAACTATTTATTTTTAGAGCGCAGATATTCCCAATATGTACACAAATCTGTATCTCGATGCGGTCGAATTTTGTGGATTTTTTTACTAATTACTGCACTCACCAGACTTCATATCTTAGTAAATAAGAATACATACCACCACCACCACCAAAAAAAAAAATCCATTGCAAATTTGTAACATTTTCCCGACCCTACCTGGCTGTRTCATACAACTGCTGGTCTGTCCAATGTGGGTTGTTTTCTCTAAGCATGTCACAGATTGCATTGTGTTCTCTTGTGAAGATGTTGTGTAACAGCGCTATGCCGACCCACCAATTGTTGTTAAAACCTTGTTGAAAAGATTCAAAACCAACATTGTTGTAAATTAATATGACGGTAATAAGGTTTATATAGCATAGGTAGATAAGTCAGCTATGTTTTTCTTTCATTTTCTTTAGTTCTTCTTCAAGTTTTTTTCTTTCCTWTTTTACTTCCCCCTTTTTAATAATGATTTTCATGCATTTCTTAAATCTTTAATTATTTCTTTATTTATTTCCTTACTTTATTAATTTTTTACACCATCTTGTCTTTCTGAACTCCATCATTTAATAAAACGTAAGCTGCAGCAACGTGATTGCGTTGTAGCCTCCTTTGCAGCCGTTCTTAGGGTCGTCACGCAACGTTGCGTGACGACCCTAAGAACGGCTGCAAAGGAGGGTAATTGCATTGATACTAGAGTGATTTTCCTTCGCCTTTGAAAGAATATCAACGTAATCCATAGTAGTAGACACAAATTGCTTTGTTTTCTTTTGCTCCCTTTTGACTGTTATTTTTGACTTATTACACAGCTTCGTTCAATGGGCCATGTAAAAGTTTAGTTTAGTTTATTATAAATTAATCATATAAATAAATAGATAACAACAATAACATAACAAACAAGCAAAAAAAAAACAAAAAACAAAAAAAAAAAAAAAAAAAAAAAAAAAAAAAAAAAAAAAAAAAAAAAAAAAAAAAAAAAAAAAAAACAAAAAAAACAACAACAAACAAACAAACAAAAAAACACACACAAAAAAAGGAAAAAATAAGGCAAAAATTATAATCATGATAAAAAATCATTCCATAGCCAAGATACCTGTAATATCGATTCCAGTTTTTTCATTCAACGGCAGAAGTCCTTTGTCATCCAATTCCAGTTTACCATCATGTAACGTGCGTACTTTCCGGTTGGTTTCCAAATCACTGCCATAAATCTGAGACATGTCCCACCAGTGAGTGACGTCATTCTGATATGTTGTTGGCTTACTTTTGTCCTTCAAACAAAAGMATTATAATGAGTTTTAAAAATTATCAATCTAAAAAAAATTATTCACTAAATATATGACATATATGTGAAATAATGTGACTCTTTACCGTGGATGTAGTGTTTTTCCATTTCAGACCACGTGTCCATTCCCTAGAGTATCATTTCTTTGCTTAACGGTTGCGTATGAGAAGACACATGAATATGGATACAACTAAAGCAAAGAATCTTATTCTCAAGAGAATGACACGTGGTCTGAAATGTGATGTCGGATGTCGGATGTCGGATGTCGGATGTCGGATGTCGGATGTCGGATGTCCAAAGTTTTCAAATGAATTCCTTACCTCGGAACAGTTGTTGAGTTTAGTACGTGCGATGCTCATAGAAGGCTTATCGTGACTATAATTAGGATCATTTCTTTCTAGTGGCACGTGGATTCTATGTTTGGTATCTTGTTCTCCGTGATCAAACCAGTCATGAAGCATAAACTGGATCCATCCAGCAGCCAGCATGTTAAGCTGCTTCACGGGAATGAATTCCTTTCTCAGTAAGGCTCTGGAAAACAAGGTAAATACTTATTTTAAACATGAAAATAGGCAGGAATATATGATATTCTCTTTGTAGAAATATAGTAGAAATACAGTAAGGTGATGAGTAGAAATACAGTAAGGTGATGAGTAGAAATACAGTAAGGTGATGAGTTAGTCACCCACACAGCCGCTTTCAGTGTCGTCACGCAACACTTTCTAAGCGTTGCGTGACGACACTGAAAGCGGCTGTGGGGGAGACTAGTGATGAGTATGATAAAATTATCCTACTGCTTTGTGTGTGTGTGTGAGTTTCAAGCAATCCAGGACAAAATGGATGGACCCCCAAAAGCCTATCCTGCGTGGCAGCCGCTCCTTGCCTACCTGGTCAAGAGCCAGCCAGGAACAGCCAGGAACGCCTGCCAATCAGGCTACCAAAAACCCACCCCGTCTAATTTTWAAAAAAAACAACTCACCTTTGGCTGATAGTCCTTGGGTTTGGCTCGAGCATATAATTATCCTCGAAGGTATAGTTGAGTGGAACATTTCTACCAAACCGGTACAACCTGCTTCCCATGGCTGTCTTATTTAGGTCATTACAGGTTCCGTCGATAGTCCTCACTCTGCGCATGCGCTCTGTGCATTTCACTAAAAAAAGGATAYAGCCGCCCTTTTCTGAGTTCACGATAAAGAAGATGCATTGTCGACTAGCTTCGGTACAAACAAAATATGATRTACCACAAATGTTTTTCAATGCACAGTGCATTCTATTTATCAAACTCAAGAAAGGCATATGAAAACCCTTTTAATATCGAAGTTTCGAAATTCATGCTCTTTTATTTTTATTTATTTTTATTATGTTAAAGCATCTTTGGAAATCACTTTTGTGAGAGAGCTTCACTCAATAAAGATTGTTATCATATCAGTCAAGAGAAAATACAAACTACCAAATAAACTGACTCAGTACAAGGAGATGAGAGACGCCAGGGGCGTAGCTAGGTTTCGATTATAGGTGGGATGTACRATCTTACAGCCAAATCCACAGGAATCCCGCATTAATTAATTACACTTTAGTGCAAGAAGTAAACTGAGGGGGAGCGGCACGTGGCCCCAGTACCCTCCTCCTTCCTCCCTACGCTAGTCGACAGCGCCGTAGCTCAACCCGATATTGTACTTACTGGTTCTATAAACATCCATACTGAGATAATAGTAGCATCCATAGTAATGTGGAGTACCATAACGATTACCCGATAACACATTGCAGTGTTTGTCCGATCTTTTCGTTGCCTTACTCACGGTCTCCGTCTTAAGACATCTGCACATTCTATAAGGTTTTGAAAACCCTGCATAAGGATAGCCATGCGATGCACAGTACCTTAACGAGATACATAGAAAGTTAAAGGAATTTAATTTCAACTGGGAAACCCACATGCTATCTTAGTTTATATATATATCTAGCATATACCAATTTGTGTACTTCCTAAGAACGCGCGCGCTCATTGGTTAATTGGAGGTGAATATTGTACGATAGAAAATAAGGAAGATAAGGTCTATTTGGCGGCCGATTTTCAGTCTATCGCGCAACTGAAATGCATAAAAAAGATTAGTTCTTATTAGTTTCTACGGCTTTTTTTTTTTTTTTTTTTGCTGCTGTTGACATTGTTTTGGCCGTGTTTCCATAGCGACTTAAATTCGGTACTCCTACTCTCGACCAATCAGAGTCGAGTAATTTTGTTGAATGTACTATAAGGAATAAAATAGTACCTTGTGCAGCTCTCGTAATAGGGAAGTTGTTTGGTTCGGCATGGGTATTGCTGGGTACGGTAATAGCATCCAATATGATAGTACCCTGGGGGRAAAAACAAGATAAGTCGGCGTATTCAGCTGTTTCTCGGTGTTGCAAGGCACCTGAGGCATGACGACAATAAGATAAAAGCCAGGAATAATAAATTTGGGACTAAACAATACCTCGAAAAGACAAAAATATAAGACGCTAAACTCTAATTTTATCTTTGAGTTAGCCATGCCCTGACTTAGATCAGCCTAGAGGTTGTTTCAGGGTTCAATCTGTGGGTTAGCCATGCCCTGACTTAGAGGTTGCTTCAGGGTTTGATAAATGATAAAGGTTTTGAAGTTGTTTGACATACCAACAACAGGATCATTGCATTGCTCTTTGACAGGGTTGTTTCCACCAGGGTACGCATCATACAGGTTGTTCTTGAACAAATGATCTCTTTSATTAAACTGGTATAACAAGACCAACACTGCGGGCATCTTCCACCAATAGTACACCTTGGAAAGTATTTCCCGGATGAGAAGCATAAGCTTGATTATAGTATCCGTTGGTACCATGTTGCCTGGAAAAAAATTAATTGATTAAGAACAKTTTGATTCATTAGCATTTTCCCCCATGGTGGGCTCAAGTTTCCGTAATCTATGTAACTCGTTCCGAGCGGTACGGGCTGGCACGGCTGTGAACTATATTGATGCTCTCTTATTTATGCCATGTATCAACAAATAATGCTTTCTTTTCTTCCAGAGTCTCGCTTTGGCCTTTCTCTCTCAGATCTACTACTTACTTAGTCATTAAATGTGGCTAAATGAAATTTGGGCGAAGTTAAAATCGAGACAATGCATGCTGCTCAGCGGTCTTCCCAACAATGTGCGKGAGGGACCCAGGGCATTATCAGGGGCTTACTTGCCGTGTTTGCAGTGCTGGTGGATTTGCACCAAGAGTTTTTCATTTGTCTATGAGTTTAATACTGAAGCTGATAAATAAATACGAAATATTTCCGTGTCCTGTAAAAATTGTCAGTAACAAAAATTGAGCGAAACAAAGGAAAATCGTATTAAGATAAAATGATCAGCATAAAAAGATGGAAGTACACGTTATTATTTAAAGTAATTTCAATTTTAATTTTTATTAAAATTGTTACGGCTGGGGCAATCTTTCGAGTTTCCCCGGGTCGGCCGTGTTAGAACAGCAAATCACTTACTGAGATTCCATCATTCAATCACTGCATTTATTAGAATCACGTAAAGACNTTTTACGTTAGCTTGTTATAGAAATAAGGACGGAGAATCGTTAAATGCCTGTTTATCGTCTCTCCTACATCCTCAAAGAAGAGTAAAAAGGAATTAACTTTTAACGCTTTTGTTTGTCTCGAGTTGCTGGAATTTCATTCACTAGAAATTAAAAGTTATCTCGTTCAGCAATACTGCAAGCTTTGACACGTTTTCCTAAAATTATCAGACAATTTTAAATTAGAGGACAGAAAAAGATTTMCCATGGGAAAGAGGTAAAATCAGTAAAACGGCTAAGTTTCAAGGAAATAAGCTCAAGTTTTGCGAACATATGATTTTTAGAAAGTGCGAATTTGTAAGAATGTTACTTACATCTACTTTATTTCTCTCCAACAGTAACATATCAAGAAGAGTACAATCAAAATATGTATATAAGATAATTAAAAAAAAAAAAAAGTAATCTGTGCAAAATAATAATAATAATAATAAAATGAAAAACCGTTAATCCTTTTTTTTGTGGAGTCAAAAGAAGTGTTCAACGAGTATTTCCATGTAAAATTTCACATTATATCTTCGCCATTAATACTGAAATTTTCTTCCTTAAGACTTTTTTTTGATTTACTAACATACATATGCTTTTTCCAGCTRTGGTAATTCTTCTCACGTCCTGAAACTTTTCAAAATATATGATTCGACATTGCAAACTGTTATAACTGGTTTTCAATCATTCGCAAGAGAATAAAAGGAAAGACACGGCGGCCATGTTGGATGACATAACAAAAGAGAATAATGACGAATCTTTTGTTAAATTCATCCAACATGGCGGCTGTGAAAACCATCCTTACAACTTACTTCAAATRAATTTTCCTCCCGCTTCAAACAGGCTAGCCGATCGCGAGCTTRCTTTTGCCAGTAATATTTACTTTACTCGAAATATTAACTTTTGATTTTGGTCAAGGAACAGTTGTTAAAACATTTAGTATTCTCTCAGCTCCTTGAAGGTAGTATTAATTTTCTTTGTTTACTAGGAAATACAAGAACTGTGTTTACTTTTTTCATAATATGAGGGTCAAATACAGCTGGGGTTTTAACAGGTCGAACATAAATATAATCTTGAATTTACAATGCAAGTTGAAAAGAACTGAAGAATTAAGATCGAAAGAAGTAAATAATAGAATCAAAAGAAAGAAAGAAATCTATTTTTTATTTTTTATTATTTTTAAATCAACGTTGATCGCACGCAATCCTTTGTTTTACCATTGTTGGCAATGGCTGAGTGAACAGACCAAAATCTTTCTTTTGACTGCTAGTTCAAAATACTTAAAGATCTATAAGAGATATTTGAATATTCCTTACAACAATTCCATAGACAAAGTTCATGTTTACTTATTTTGCAATTTCGGATGAGCATAAATCAAACATTGTGCACGGTCAAGACAAGTTCAACGTCAAAAGCGAACAAAGACCTGATAACAATAGGTTTCCTAACCATTCCCCTCTATTAACTATAGTTTGAAGGGATTGTTGTAGTTGAGCAAGCGGTCCTAGTTTCAGTTGTTCATCGAAGCTAGTGCCGCACGAGGAAATTTCAGTTATATATTCTTAGTCTTTGTTTAAGTTTTCGTTCCGGTCACGCTTCTATCGCCTTAGTTTCTTAGCTTTTTTGTTTCGTATTCAAATTTATAGAACTTTTGCTTAGTCTTTTTTCAATATGTTCAGTTCTCAGTTGGATTTGTATCGGAAAAGACCATATTTATTTTCTATGTCTCATTTTGTTCCRTCAGTATATTTCTAGGCAACTTTTTAAATTTTCTGCTATTTTGTAGTCTTATTTAGTGCTCCAACAGTTTGTATTTATATTTTGTTTYGTAGAAACTGTTACCGTTATCGTTATTATGCTATCAGTCAAGGACATAAAATAAATTCAATGTTACGCGTTTTGAACTGAGGTTACAATCGGCGAACAAAGAGCTATCATTTCACGATAATTTTATAAAAGGATTGAAACCACGACACACCATTTGACCCATAGGTATTCGTTATAAGTATAGGAAGAATTTTAAATACATCATAATCTTCATAATTTGACATAGATCTAACACTGTAACCTCTGGGCTGGTCTAAGTCAGGGCATGGCTAACTCACAGATCAATCAGGAATTTTGGATTAACAAACCATAGGTTTGTTTCTATTAACTATGAACAAACGAACGACCGGACTAACGAACGAACGAACGAAAGAACAAACAAACACACAAACAAACGCTCTCAAGTCAAGAAAAACACCTCAGTAACAAACTCTATAAAGATTTTGCACTCATCACGTGTCCACGCCCATAATACAGCCTTGGGCTGCCTGTGGTTAGATGGCAGAACAATAAAATCCCTTTGCTCTTGGAAATTGAATTCTTTCTCGTGTAAAAACGATTCCTGCCATCTAACATGGCTGCCGTCACGTGATGGTGCAAAACCTCTATTACATGCTTTTTTTTACCTTCAATTCTTAATTATCTATAGAAATAACAAAGTTAGATGCACTATTTACCTCTTTTACTCCGACGAAGGACTAGCGTCCGAAACGTCAGTAAGTTTTTTCATCTTTTCACGGTGTATAATTTACCTTTTCATTTTTACTGCACTATTTAGGGTCACATGCACCATCCTTAGATCCGGCTCTGATCCAGGAAGTTTAACAGCCGACAATTCCAGTTTTAACGATTATCATTATTACGAGAAAATTGGCTAATAATGGCTTTTGGCTTTATCATTACCATCTAAATCTACTTG